TTTCTAACTTTATTATTCTTTCTATTTATATGAGCTGAACTCTTCTGTAAAGAAGAACTTTCTGTTTTCCTTTTGACAAACATTTCCTTTCCATTCATCCACTGGGATAAGATAATAGGGCTTTCCCAGGATTTCTTCAAGTCCCCAGATCTCGCCCAGCTGCTGGAGCAATTTCGGGTAGTCGTCTGGGAGATGTGAGGCGGGCGATGGCGGAATGTCTGAGATGATAGTAAACCTCTAGCTCACAGGAAAATGTGTAAGAAAGTAACAAGAGTGCTTTGTCTGCTATGGTGTAGCCATCACTCCCATATGGCATAAAGTGGTTGTCACTGTTTCATTTTTGCATTCTTTCCTTGTAGCTACTATGCGCCAAGAGGTTGCTGGTTCCATTCTCGGTCAGGACACATGCCTGGGTTGCAGGCTCCATCCCCAGTAGGGGGCGTGCAGGAGGCAGCCGATTGATGATTCTCTCTCATCATTGGTATTTCTATCTCTTTCCCTCTCCCATCCTCTTTTTAATATCAATAATAATTTTTTAAAAAGTAGAGCCAAAACCCCCTTTGGTTTTCATGGGGGAGAGAGGAGACAGATGGAGAAGGTGTAGACCCCTTTGTTGTGACAAGATGGGGGAGTTTCTTGATCGCTGGGAGTAGTAGTTTAAGGCATCGGGCAGAGGCCGTAGTGCCCCGTGACCAGGGACAGCGCTGGAAGAGAGGAGGGGTGGAGCGAATATAATAGGTGCAAATTTGTTCTACTTCAGAGCTGTGCCCATCCCTGGACTGGTATTAAATTCTTATAGGAGCAGATACAGAGCAAACACCTACAGCGCAAATGCTGACATTGGGGAGGCTGTGGAGGGTAGAAGTTAAGGTCCAGGGTTCAGGAGTCAGAGAGCCCACCACCCGTGTCACTTGGGGGAAGTTACTTAATGTCTGTGTGCCTCGGTAAGGAGCTCGGAATAACGCCCCGCACGTGGCTTGTAGCTGATACATGTCAGCTGTTATTCATTGGGCATCATGTCGGCAATAGTTATCAGCTACAGTGCTCCCCTAATTTATTCCTGAAGTTTCCCAAGACCGTCAACTCTACACCAAGCAGTCCTGATAGAAAGTAGGCAAGTTCTAGTGGGTTTTCTCCTATAATGGCAAAACTGGGGCAAAGAGATTAAAATGAGTTGCCCCAGGGCTCAGAGGCTGCTCCTGAAAGGGGAGGCAGTGCGGGGGGGATCTCCCCAAAGACGAGGGCTCAGTACCGGCTTCGCTGCTCAGTTCACGAGTCATCTTGGGAAAGCGCCTGATCTCTCTGAGCCCTCAGGTGTGCACCTGTCCCACGGGAGTAAAGAAAATGCCTAAGGGTTGTTAAAACGCATTAACACGGGTGCATGAAACGTGCCTGGGGTCTGGGCTCAGTCAAATCAGTCTCCCCGGGTATTATGCCCACTGTTGTTAACGGCAGGTCCTGTGTGGCACAGCCAGGGCCTCTCTGGGACACTGGACGTCGTGGCTCCCCATCCTGCGCCAGCGCTGGCACCCAGGAGACATTTGGAAACGTTTGTGGAACGAATGCACATCGTCGGGGGAAGGAAGGGCAGCGGCCGGCGGCCTGGAGCTCAGCCCGCCCTCCTGGGCAGCGGCCACAAACCCACCTCGTCCCTGACGCCCCCGGAGCCGCGCGAGGGCGCATCGCCGGGACGCGCGCCTCTGTGCCAGCCGCGCTCTCCGAAGCCCCTTTTTTTCTGGTTGGCGGTTTATTTATTTAAGAATTTACAGCTCCCCCGCTCAGAGGGGCTGCTGCAGCAGGTCAGGCCGGGGTCGCAGTCTGAATGTTTTCTCCCCG